ATTTAATGTAATGCTTAAAATTTAATTTATTTAATTTAATTTCATGTCATTCCATCTCATTACACTGTTTTTAGTTTAATTTAATTTGATTTATTTTAATTTAATTCCATTTCATTTCCTTTACCTCCATTTAATTACATTGTTTTATTTTACTTTACTTTAATGTCATTTAATTCCATTTAATGTCTTTGTATTTAATTCAATATAATTTAATGTATTTTAATTTAATGTAATTTTTAACATTTCATTTATTTTAATTTAATTTTGTTTCATTCCACTTCATTCTATTGTTTTTAGTTTAATTTAATTCAATTTCATTCAATTCCTTCTAATTTCTTTGTATTTAACTTAATTTAATATAATTTTACTTTTCTTAACATACTTTAATTTAATGTCATTTAATCCATTTAATTTCTTCATATTGAATTCAATTTCTTTGTATTTAATGCAATTTAATTCAATTCAATTCAATTTTATTTTATTTATTTTTATTTAATGTAATTTTTAAAATACTAAAGTAACTTAAATTAAATTCAATTAATTACTTTATTTTAATTAAATTTAAATTTAATTTAATTTAACTTAATTTAATTTAGTTCAATTCAATTCAATTTAATTCAATTTAATTTAATTTAATTTAAGTTAATTTAAGTTAATTTAATTTAATTCAGTTTAATTACTTTACTTTACTTTACTTTACTTTACTTTAATTTAATTTAATTTAATTCAGTTTAATTACTTTACTTTACTTTAATTTAACTTAATTTAATTCAATTTAATTTAATTCAGTTTAATTACTTTACTTTACTTTAATTTAATTTAATTCAATTTAATTACTTTACTTTACTTTAATTTAATTTAGTTTAATTTAATTTAATTTTGATTTAATTTAGTTTTATGTAATGTAATGTAATTTAATTTAATTTAATTTAACTTAATTTAATTTAGTTCAATTCAATTTAATTCAATTTAATTACTTTACTTTACTTTAATTTAATTTAGTTTAATTTAATTTAATGTAATTTAATATAATTTAATGTAATTTAATGTAGTTTAATTACTTTACTTTACTTTACTTTACTTTACTTTACTTTACTTTAATTTAATTTAATTTAATTTTATTAATTTAGTTTAATTTAATTTAATTTAATTTTATTTAATTTAATTTAATTTAATTTAACAGAGCCCTAGACCGGGTGTTCCCGGGTCAGCGGAGTTTCCTGCTGAGCCGCTCCAACTTTGCGGGTTCCGGTAAATTGGGGGGTCATTGGTTGGGTGACAACGCGGCCTCCTGGAACCATCTACGCTGGGCAATCCCCGCCATCCTCGAGTTCGGCCTCTTCGGAATCCCCTACGTGAGAGGAGATTCAGATTCAAATGAAATTAGACAAAATGAAATGAAAGAAATTCAATTCAATTACATTTTAAATTCAATTTTAAATTAAATTACATTTTAAATTCAATTTTAAATTCGATTTTAAATTCGATTTTAAATTCAATTTTAAATTCTATTTTAAATTCAATTTTAAATTCAATTTTAAATTAAATTTTTAAATTCAATTTTAAATTAAATTTTTAAATACATTTTTAAATTCAATTTTAAATTCAATTTAAATAGAACTTTAAATAAAATTTAAAATTAAATTTTAAATTATATTTTCAATTCAATTTTAAATTAAATTACATGAACGTAATAAAATAAAATAAAATAACATAAAATAAAATAAAATTTTCATTTAAATTTTAAATTAAATTACATTAATCATAAAATAACATAAAATAAACCAAACCAAAATAAAGTAAAATAAGATAAAATTAATTTCTAAATGAAATAAAATTGAATTTTAAATTAAATTTTAAATTCAATTTTTTTCAATTCAATTTTAATTAAATTAAATTTAAAAATAAAATTAAAAATATGATTAAAAATATAATTAAAAATATAATTAAAAATAAAATTAAAAAATAAAAATAAAAAAACCTAAAAAATTAAATTAAAAATAAAATTAAAAATATAATTTAAAATATAATTAAAAATATAATTAAAAATGAAATTAAAAAACAAAAAATAAAATAAAAATTAGAAATAAAATTAAAAATAAAAAATTAAAAATCAAATAAAAAATAAAACTAAAAATCAAATACAAAATAAAATTAAAAATGAAATAAAAAATATAAAATTAAAAAGAAAATAAAAAATAAAGAATAAAATTAAAAGTAAATAAAAATTAAAATTAAAAAATAAAACTAAAATAAAAATTCAAAAATAAAATTAAAAATACAATTCCAAAATAAAATTAAAAATAAAAATAAAAAATCAAATTAAAAAGAAAATTGAAAACTAAACTAACTAAAATTGAATTTAAATTTTCTGACCTGTTGTGTTTCCCGCTCAGGTCGGAGCCGACATTTGCGGTTTCATGGATGACACAACAGAGGAGCTCTGCCGGCGCTGGATGCAGGTGGGGGCCTTTTACCCCTTCGCCAGGAATCACAACAACATCGACACCACGGTGAGACCCGGAAATCCCACTGCAAATGAAATGAAATAAAATTCAAAATTCAATTCAGTTAAATAATTAATTTCAATTACATTAAATTTGAAATTAAATTAAATTTTAAATTAAATTAAATTTGAAATTAAATCAAATTTTAAATTAAATTAAATTTTAAATTAAATTAAATCTTAAGTTAAATTAAATTAAATTAAAATTACATTTTAAATTAAATTACATTTGAAATTAAATTAAATTTTAAATTAAATCAAATTTTAAATTAAATTAAATTTTAAATTAAATTTTAAATTAAAATATATTTTAGATGAAATTTTAAATTAAATTAAATTTTAAATTAAATTTTAAATTAAATTTTAAATAGAATTAAATTTTAAATAGAATTAAATTTGAAATTGAATTAAATTTTAAATTTTATTACATTTTAAATTAAATGAAATTATAATAAAATACAATAAATAAATTAAAAATTTTAGTAAAATGTAAAATTAAAAAATGTATAAAATGAAAATAAATAAATGAAAAATCTAAAAAATGTAAACAAATAACTGAAAAATTTAAAAAATAAAAATAAAATACATACATCCAAAAAGTTTAAAAAAATGAAAATAAAATCAATAAATTCAAATAAATTCAAAAATAAAAAATAAAGAAAAAATAAAATACCTACAAGTAATAATTAAAAAAAAAAGCAAATTAAAATGGAAATTTGAACCCTTCCAGCCCCAGGACCCGGCGTTTTTCGGGGCCGATTCTTTGCTGGTGAATTCCTCGCGCCGCTACCTCAACATCCGCTACCAACTCCTGCCCTACCTCTACTCCCTCTTCTACCGCGCCCACACCCGCGGGGACACCGTGGCCAGGCCCCTCCTGCACGAGTGAGTCCAAGTGGGAGACGGGCTGGGATCAGGGATGGGGTTGGGGTAGGGTTTGGGATTGGGTTGGATCAGAGAGTTCAGCTTGGGTTGGGGCTTGGCCTGGATCAGTCTTGAGTTTGGGTTGGGTTTTGGGATTGGGTTGGATCAGAGTCTTGGTGATGGGCTGGGTCTTGGAGCTGCATCAAAGACTTGGGATTGGGTTGGGTCTTGGTCTTGATCTCAACCTTGAACTTGGCTTTGCTCTTGACCTGAATCTCAACCTTGAGCTTGGGTTGGGTCTTGGTCTTGGTCTGGATCAGAGTCTTGAGCTTGGGTTGGGTCTTGGACCTGGATCAAAGACTTGGGATTGGGTTGGGTCTTGGGTTTGGGCTGGATCGGAGCCCTGAGCTTGGGTTGGGTCTTGGACCTGGATCAAAGACTTGGGATTGGGTTGGGTCTTGGTCTTGGTCTGGGTCATAGCCTTGAGCTTGGGTTGGGTCTTGGACCTGGATCAGAATCTTGAGTTTGGGTTGGGTCTTGGTCTTCATCTCAACCTTGAGCTTGGGTTGGGTCTTCGTCTTGGCCTGGATCAGAGTCTTGAGGTTGGGTTGGGTCTTGGTCTGGATCAGAGTCTTGAGGTTGGGTTGGGTCTTGGTCTTGATCTCAGCCTTGAGCTTGGGTTGGGTCTTGGCCTGAATCTCAACCTTGAGCTTGGCTTGGGTCTTGGTCTTGGACCTGGATCAAAGCCCTGAGGTTGGGTCTTGGTCTTGGTCTGGATCAGAGTCTTGAGCTTGGGTTGGGTCTTGGCCTGGATCAAAGCCTTGAGCTTGGGTTGGGTCTTGGACCTGGATCAAAGACTTGGGATTGGGTTGGGTCTTGGTCTGGATCAAAAACTTGGGATTGAGATTGTGTTGGGTCTTGGTCTTGGGTTGGATCAGAGTCTTGAGTTTGGGTTGGGTCTTGGACCTCGATCAAAGTCTTGAACTTGAGTTGGGCCTTGGGCTGGATCAGAGTTTTGAGCTTGGGTTGGGGGTTGGACCTGGATCAAAGACTTGGGATTGGGTTGGGTCTTGGACCTGAATCTCAACCTTGAGCTTGGGTCTTGGTCTTGGCTTGGATCAGAGTCCTGAGCTTGGGTTGGGTCTTGAGTCTTTGGTCTCGATCAGACTCTTGAGATTGGGTTGGGTCTTGGTCTTGATCTCAGCCTTGAGCTTGGGTTGGGTCTTGGTCTGGATCAAAGCCTTGAGCTTGGGTTGGGTCTTGGACCTGGATCTCAAGCCTTGAGTTTGGGTCTGGTCTTGGCTGCTCAACCTTGAGCTTGGTTGTCTTGGCCTGGATCAAAGCCTTGAGCTTGGGTTGGGTCTTGGCCTTGTCAGTCTTGGATTGTGGCCTTGCTGACCATTGAGATTGGTTGGTCTTGGTCTGGTTGATCACAGCCTTGAGCTTGGGTTGGGTCTTGGACCTGATCAAAGCTTGATTGAGTTGCCTGGTCTAGATCTCAATCTTGAGCTTGGGTTGGGGCTTGGACCTGGATCAAAGACTTGGGCTTGGCTTGGTCTTGGACCTGAATCAGAACCCTGAGATTGGGTCTTGGTCTTGGTCTGGATCAGAGTCCTGAGCTTGGGTTGGGTCTTGGCCTGGATCAAAACCTTGATCTTGGGTTGGATCTTGCTCTGGACCTGGATCAAAACCCTGAGGTTGGGTCTTGGTCTGGGTCTGGATCGGAGCCCTGAGCTTGGGTTGGGTCTTGGATCTGGATCAGAGTCTTGAGGTTGGGTTGGGTCTTGGGCTTGATCTCAACCTTGAGATTGGGTTGGGTCTTGGGTTGGATCAGAGTCTTGAGCTTGGGTTGAGTCTTGGTCTTGATCTCAACCTTGAGCTTGGCTTGGGTCTTGGTCTGGACTTGGATCAAAGCCCTGAGGTTGGGTTGGGTCTTGGACCTGGATCAAAGACTTGGGATTGGGTTGGGTCTTGGCCTGAATCTCAACCTTGAGCTTGGGTTGGGTCTTGGTTTTGGTCTGGATCAAATCCTTGGGATTGGGTTGGGTCTTGGCCTTGATCTCAACCCTAAACTTTGCTTGGATCTTGGCCTGAATCTTAGCCTTGATCTTGACCTGCACCTCAACCTTGAGCTTGGCTTTGCTCTTGACCTTGATCTCAACCTTGATCTTAAGTTTGGCCTCGACCTGGATTTAAACCTTGATCTTGGTTTTGCTCTTGACCTGCACCTCAACTTTGAGCTTGGTTTTGATCTCAACCTTGAACTTGGCTTTGCTCTCACCCTTGAGCTTGGCTTTGATCCCAACCTTGAGCTTGGCTTTGATCTCAATCTTGAGCTTGGCTTTGATCTCAACCTTGAACTTGGTTTTGGTCTCAACCTTGAGCTTGGTTTTGATCTCAACCTTGAGCTTGGCTTTGCTCTCAACCTTGAGCTTGGTTTTGATCTCAACCTCGAGCTTAACTTTGGTTTGGTCTTGATCTCAACCTTGAGCTTGGCTTTGCTCTCGACCTTGATCTTGACTTTGTTCTTGCCCAACATCTCAACCTTGAACTTGGCTTTGATCTCAACCTTGAGCTTGGCTTTGACCTTGACCTCATCTCAGCCTTGAACTTGACCTGCACCTCAACCTTGAGCTTGGCTTTGCTCTCACCCTTGAGCTTGGCTTTGATCTCAACCTTGAGCTTGGCTTTGATCTCAACCTTGAGCTTGGCTTTGATCCCAACCTTGAGCTTGGCTTTGATCTCAACCTTGAGCTTGGCTTTGATCTCAACCTTGAGCTTGGCTTTGATCTTGACCAACATCTCAACCTCGAGCTTGGTTTTGCTCTCACCCTTGAGCTTGGTTTTGGTCCCAACCTTGAGCTTGGCTTTGATCTCAACCATGAGCTTGGTTTTGATCTCACCCTTGAGCTTGGCTTTGCTCTTGCCCAACATCTGAACCTTGAACTTAGCTTTGATCTCAACCTTGAGCTTGGCTTTGGTTTGGTCTTGATCTCACCCTTGAGCTTGGTTTTGGTCCCAACCTTGAGCTTGGTTTTGCTCTTGGGTCTTGATCTCAACCTTGAGTTTGGTTTTGTTCTCAACCTTGGCTTTGGTCTCACCCTTGATCTTGGCTTTGCTCTTGACCTTAAGCTTGGCTTTGTTCTTGACCAACATCTCACCCTTGAGCTTGACCTGCACCTCAACCTTGAGCTTGGCTTTGATCTCAACCTTGAGCTTGGCTTTGGTCTTGACCTGGATCAAAACCTTGAGCTTGAGGTTGGTCTTGACCTGGATCGCAACCTTGAGCTTGGCTTTGCTCTCACCCTTGAGCTTGGCTTTTCTCTCACCCTTGAGCTTGGCTTTGATCTCAACCTTGAACTTGGTTTTGGTCTCAACCTTGAGCTTGGCTTTGCTCTTGGGTCTTGATCTCAACCTTGAGCTTGGCTTTGGTCTCAACCTTGAGCTTGACTTTGCTCTTGACCTTGATCTTGGCTTTGTTCTTGACCAACATCTCAACCTTGAGCTTGACCTGCACCTCAACCTTGAGCTTGGCTTTGCTCTTGACCAACATCTCAACCTTGAGCTTGGCTTTGCTCCCACCCTTGAGCTTGGCTTTGATCTCAACCTTGAGCTTGGCTTTGCTCTTGACCTTGATCTTGGCTTTGATCTTGCCCAACATCTCAACCTTGAGCTTGGCTTTGCTCTCACCCTTGAGCTTGGCTCTGATCCCAACCTTGAGCTTGGCTCTGATCCCAACCTTGAGCTTGACTTTGTTCTTGCCCAACATCTCACCCTTAAGCCCGACTTCGCCTTAAGCTGAGTTTAAGCCTTGTCCTTGTTCCGTGTCCCTGCAGGTTCTTCTCGGAGGAGGCCACGTGGGACGTGGACGAGCAGTTCCTGTGGGGTCCTGCCCTGCTCATCACCCCCGTCCTGCAGCCGGTCTGGGAACGCTGGGAATGCTGGGAATGCTGGGAAAATCCATCCACTTAAAAATCTGGGAAAATTCACCCCCAAAATTGTGGAGAAATTCAGCCTAAAAATTTTGGGAAAATTTATTCCCTTCCTCAAAAAAAAATTATGGGAAAATCAAACTCACCCCCAAAAAATGATGGGAAAATCCATCCCAAAAAATTATGGGAAAATTCACCCCCCCCAAAAAAAAAAATTCAGGAAAATCAACCCCTCAAAAAATATTCTGGGAAAATCAATCCCCCAAAAAGTATTCTGGGAAAATTCCTCCCCAAAAATTTCTGGGAAAATCCACCAAAAAAAATTTCTGGGAAAATTCACCCCCCCAAAAAAATTGTCTGAAAATTCCACCCACAAAAAAATTCTGGGAAAATAAATCCCCCCCCAAAATTCTGGGAAAATCTACCCCCCAAAAAAATTCTGGGAAAGTCCATCCCCTGAAAAAAAATGATGGGAAAATCAACCCCTCAAAAAAATTTCTGGGAAAATCCAGCCCAAAAATTTTCTGGGAAAATCCACCCCCAAAAAAGTTATGGGAAAATCCACCCCCAAAAATGATGGGAAAATTCACTCCCCCAAAAATTCCAGGAAAATTCACCCCCCCAAAATTTCCTGGAAAATCCATCCCAAAAAATGATGAGAAAATCCACCCCCTGAAAAAAAATTCTGGGAAAATCCACCCCCAAAAATATTCTGGGAAAATTTACCCCCCCCAAAAGTTCTGGGAAAATCCACCCCCAAAAAAATTGTCTGAAAATTCGACCCCAAAAAATTCTGGGAAAATCAATCCCCCCAAAATATATTCTGGGAAAATTTACCCCCAAAATTATGGGAAAATCAACCCCTCAAAAAATATTCTGGGAAAATCCATCCCCAAAAAATGATGGGAAAATCCACCCCCCAAAAAATATGGGAAAATCCACACCCCAAAAAAATTCCAGGAAAATCCACCCCCAAAAAAATTATGGGAAAATCGACCCCCCCAAAAAATTGTCTGAAAATTCCACCCCGAAAAATTCTGGGAAAATCAACCCCCAAAAAAATATTCTGGGAAAATTTACCCCCCAAAATATATGGGAAAATCCACCCCCCAAAAAAATATTCTGGGAAAATCCACCATGAAAATTTTCTGGGAAAATTCACCCATCAAAAAAAATTCCAGGAAAATCCACCCCCAAAAAATTATGGGAAAATTCACCCCCCCAAAAAAAAAAAATTATGGGAAAATCCAACTCCCCCCAAAAAATTATGGGAAAATCCATCCCAAAAAATTGTGGGAAAATTCACTCCCTGAAAAAATATTCTGGGAAAATCCACTCTGAAAAATTCCAGGAAAATCCCCCCTCCACCCCCCAAAAAAAGTTGGGATTAATTGAGTGGTTATTCCTGGGATTTTTCTCTCTCTCCTTTTCTGGTTTAAAATCAGAATTCCATGATTTTTTGGGGAAGTGACAATCCAGGGGAAAATCCCAGGGGACAATCCAGGGACAATTTTGGGGATGATTTTGGGGACAATTTTGAGGACAATAAGAGGACAATCCAAGGGACAATTTTGGGGACAATCCCGGGACAATTCAGGGAAAATCCAGGGACAATTCAGGGACAATCTGGGGACAATTTTGGGGAAAATTTTGGGGACAATCCAGGGACGATCTTAGGGACAATTTGGGGACAATCCAGGTATAATTTTGGGGACAATCTCAGGACAAAATTTTGGGGACAATCCAGGGAAAATCCAGGGACAATTTTGGGGACAATCCAGGGACAATTTGGGGACAATCAGGGGACAATCCAGGGATAATTTTGGGGACAATTTGGGGACAATCCAGGGACAATTCAGGGACAATCTTAGGGACAATGCAGGGAAAATCCAGGGACATTCCAGGTGACAATCCCTGGACAATCCCTGGACAATCCAGGTACAATTTGGGGACAATCCAGGGGACAATCCCGGGATAATTTTGGGGACAATCCAGGGACAATCCAGGGACAATCCAATGACAATTTTGGGGACAATCCAGGGACAATCCAGGGACAATCCAAGGACAATTTTGGGGACAATTCAGGGGACAATCCAGGTATAATTTTGGGGATAATCAGGGGACAATCCAGGGACAATCCAGGGGACAATTTTGGGGACAATCCAGGAACAATCCAGGGACAATTTTGGGAACAATCCAGGGACAATTTTGGGGACAATTTGGGGACAATCCATGGAAAAATTTTGGGGACAATCCAAGGACAATCCAGGGACAATTTTGGGGACAATCCAGGGACAATCCAGGGGACAATCCCAGGACAATTTTGGGGACAATCAGGGGACAATCCCAAGGACAATCCGGGGATAATTTGGGGACAATTTGGGGATAATTTTAGGGACAATCCAGGGACAATTTTGGGGACATTTTGGGGACAATCTTAGGGACAATCCAGGGACAATTTTGGGGGCAATAAGAGAACAATCCAGGGGACAATTTAGGGGAAAATCCAGGGACAATCCAGGGATAATTTTGGGGAAAATACAGGGACAATCTTAGGGACAATTTGGGGACAATCCAGGGATAACTTTGGGGACAATCCAGGGACAATTTTGGGGACGATTTTGGGGACAATCCAGGGACAATTTAAGGACAACTCAGGGACAATTTTGGGGACAATTTTGGGGACAATCCAGGGGACAATTTTGGGGACAATCCAGGGATAATTTTGGGGACGATTTTGGGGACAATTTGGGGACAATCCCAGGATAATTTTGGGGACAATCCAGGGACAATTTTGGGGACAATCCAGGGACAATCCAGGGACATTCCAGGTGACAATCCCTGGACAATCCCTGGACAATCCCTGGACAATCCAGGGACAACTTTGGGGACAATTTTGGGGACAATCCCAGGATAATTTTGGGGACAATCCAGGAACCATCCAGGAACAATCCAGGAACAATTGTGGGGAAAATTTGGGGACGATTTTGGGGACAATTTTGGGGACAATCCAGGGACAATTCCAGGTGCCAATCCGTGTGTCTCCCCAGGGTGTGGAGGTGATCTCAGCCTACATTCCCGACGCCGTCTGGTACGAGTACGAGTCGGTGAGTCCCGCTTTTCCAGGGGGATTGGGGGGATTCGGAATTCCAGGTGGTTTTTGGGGTGTCCAAAATTCCAGGTGGTTTTTGGGGTGTCCAAAATTCGGGGTGGTTTTGGGATGGTCCAAAATTCCAGGTGGGATTGGTGGGATCCAAAATTCCAGGTGGGATTGGTGGGATTCTGAATTCCAGGTGGTTTTTGGGGTGTCCAAAATTCCAGTTGGGATTGGTGGGATTCTGAATTCCAGGTGGTTTTTGGGGTGTCCAAAATTCCAGGTGGGATTGGTGGGATTCTGAATTCCAGGTGGTTTTTGGGGGTGTCCAAAATTCCAGGTGGGATTGGTGGGATTCTGAATTCCAGGTCTTTTTTGGGGTGTCCAAAATTCCAGGTGGTTTTGGGGAGTCCAAATTTTCCAGATGGTTTTTGAGGTGGCCAAAATTCCAGGTGGGATTGTTGAAATCCAAATTTTCCAGGTGGTTTTGGGAGTGTCCAAAATTCCAGGTGGGATTGGTGGGATTCTGAATTCCAGGTGGTTTTTGGAAAGGTCCAAAATTCCAGGTGGTTTTTGGGGTGTTCAAAATTCCAGTTGGGATTGGTGGAATCCAAATTTTCCAGGTGGTTTTTGGGGTGTTCAAAATTCCAGGTGGTTTTTGGGGTGTCCAAAATTCCAGGTGGGATTGGTGGGATTCTGAATTCCAGGTGGTTTTTGGAGGGATCCAAAAATCCAGGTGGGATTGGTGGGATTCTGAATTCCAGGTGGTTTTTGGGGTGTTCAGAATTCCAGGTGGGACTGGTGGGATTCTAATTTCCAGATGGGATTGGGGTGTCCATGGGTGGGAGATTCCTGGTTCCTCCCCACACTCCTGCCCAGCTGAGAATTCCATAAAAATCCTGGAATGGGAATTCAAAATTCCATCATTTCATTTAATACATGGGGAAAATATTAAATACTGAATAAATTAATGCAGCTGTGAGTAAACCTTCCTCTGCATTTTCCTCTTCCTCCTCCTCCTCTTCCTCCTCTTTTTCCTCCTCCTCTTCCTCCTCCTCCTCTTCCTCTTCCTCTTGCTCTTGCTCTTCCTCTTCCTCTTTTTCCTCCTCCTCTTCCTCCTCCTCTTCTTCTTCCTCCTCTTCCACCTCCACCTCCTCCTCCTCTGCCTCCTTTTCCTCCTCCTCTTCCTCCTCCTCCTCCTGCTCCTTTTTCTTTTCCTCCTCCTCCTCTTCCTTTTTCTCTTCCTCTTTTTTCTCCTCCTTTTCTTCCCCCTCCTCTTCTTCCTCCTTTTCCTCTTCCTCCTCCTCCTCTTTTTCCTCCTCCTCCTCCACTTCCTCCTGCCTTTCTTCCTCCTCCTCTTCCTCCCCCTCTTCCTCCTCTTCCTCTTTTTTCTCCTTCTCTTCCTCCTCCTCCTGTTCCTTCTCCTCCTCCTCCTCTTCCTCTTCCTTTTTCTCTTCCTCTTTTTTCTCCTCCTTTTCTTCCCCCTCCTCTTCTTCCTCCTCCTCTTCCTCCTTCTCCTTCTCCTCCTCTTCCTCCTCCTCCCCCTCCACCTTATCCTCTTCCTCCTCCTTCTTTTCCTCTTCTCCTTCCTCTTCCTCTTTTTTCTCCTTCTCTTCCTCCACCTTCTCCTGTTCCTTTTCCTCCTCCTCTTCCTCCTCCTTTTCCTCTTCCTCTTCCTTCTCCTCCTCCTCCTCCTCCTCTTCCTTCTCTTCCTCTTTTTTCTCCTCCTCCTCTTC